GGACTAGTGGCTCAGATAATGCTTGTTTGGGATGGCAGAGGGCGAGCTCTCACACCTCGGTCTACTCAAAGGCAACCTCTTTATGGAGAAGTTTAAAGAAGGGGAGTGTGTGCTGGGTAAATTTATCCACAAAGGGGGACAAGGATGTGAGCATTCCATTCAATGTATGGATTGAATTTTTTGAGTTCGGAGTTGGGAGCTCTGAAAATGCATGACACTTACTGGGGTTGGCTTCGATTCCTCGCTCCGTCAGATAGAAGCCGATGAGATTTCCTGCTCGCATGCCGAAGGTGCATTTTTCTAGATTGAAGCGCATTCTGCACTTCCTCGCCTACTCGAAGACTTCCTTCAGGTGGAGGGCATGGTCGACTTCCTCTTTAGACTTGAAGATCATGTCGTCCATGTACACTTTGAGCATGTCGCCTATCTCCTCGCGAAAAACTTTGTTCACTATACGCTGATAGGTGGCACCCGCATTTTTTTAGTCTGAAGGTCATTACATTGTAATAATAGTTGCCTGATTTGATCACGAACGCTGTATATTTTTTGTCATATTTTTCCATGGGAATCTGGTTGTATCCAGAATATGCGTCCATGAAAGACAATAATTTGAAACCTGCAGAATTATCGACCAGTTTGTCGATGTTGGGGAGAGGATAAGCATTTTTCGGGAAAGCCCGATTGAGATTAGTGTAATCAATACACATACGCTATTTTCCATTAGATTTTTTAACGAGGACTACATTCGAGATCCAGGTTGTGTACTGGGCTTCAGAAATAAAGTTTTCCTTTAAGAGGTCTTTTACAGCCTGCTCGGCAGCCTCCGTTTTCTCCAGAGTCTGCTTTTTCCTATGCTGAGCAACCGCCTTAAGGGAAGGGTCTACTGTCAGATGATGACAAGCTATTTCTAGATCCAGTCCGTGCATTTTAGCTGCACTCCATGCGAACAAATCAACATTCTCCTTCAAGCATGCTTCTAGTTGTCTCTTCTCCAGGTCGGGGAGGTCGGCGCCAATCTTTACTCCTATGGAGGGATCACTCCCGAGGGGGGCGATCTCGAAATCATTGTCTGGTATTGGTCGCATAGGATGTGAAGGATCCCTGCTACCTGTTGTTGGGGGCAAACACTCTCTGTCAACCATGGGCTTCTTTCATCTTTCTCTTCTGCTCTATGAGGTCCTCCTTGGAGAAGCAACTGTCTAGGTCAATGGTGTTGACCTACGGTAGTGATCTGGGTTCCTCGGAGCTGGAGGGCAGAGCGGATCCCCTGGCCATTCGGGGATGAGTATTGATGGAACTCAGGCCCTTGGCTGATGCTTCGAAACATCTTCTTGCAGCCTATACATCCCTGTGGAGGGTGGCGACCAAGCCCTCGACGATGTAGTACTTCATTTTGAGGTGCACGGTGGAGGGCACCAGAATCAGCTAGGCTAGAGTGGGCCTTCCAAAGATGCATTTTTAGAGTGACGGGCAATACACTACTAGAAACTGGGTCCTAATGGCCTTGGTTGTTACCCCTCTACCGAAGGTAACAATCGGCTTGATGTATCCCCAAGGTTTGGTGACAGATCCATTGAATCCTTAAAGATCTGAGCCTATGTATGGGGTCAGATGAGTCTCATTCAACTGCAGGGTACTGAACAGTTGGGTGTACATGATGTTCACTGAGCTTCCCTGGTCCACCAAGATGCGTCTCACGTCAAAGTTTGCCATACATGCCCACACGAGGAGTGGGATGCTCGAGTTATGGGCCCCACCCGAAAGTTCTTCTCGGTAGAATGTGAGGGGATGGGAATCCCCTCTGAATTTGTCGAGGGTTATGTCCATGTCAGAGCTAGCATCTACCAACTGGTCAAACCTTCTTTTTACATAACCCACCGTGTACTTGTTGAATCCCCCGCCGGAGATGACCATCGCTATGGGGAAGGATTCCCAAGAACTGTGCAAGGAAAATTACAGTGAGACCTCTTCCATGTTGGGAAAATAAAAATCTTCTGGTCTAGTGATTCTCATAGTGGCCGGGATGATGATGACGTTCGAGGACTCCTTCCCTTCTTCAACATTCTTGTTATCTTGAGCCTCCTCGCGGGCATCGTCCTTCTTCTTATACTGCTTGGGATGCCCGTCCCTGATGAGTATCTCAGTTTCATCTTTGAGGTGGATGCAGTCGTCGGTGTTGTGCCTGTGGCTCTTGTGGAACCTACAATACTTTCTTTTACCAGTCTCGGGCTTGACAGGTGTTTGGAGAGGAAAGCGCACCCAGCTTGCTTGAATTCTGAATTAGCGCACTCTATCAGGATACGCTCTCGAGAGGCATTGAGGGGAGTGTAGTCGTGAAAACGACCATCCGACCCCTTGTAATCTTTGGAATCTCAGGATCTATCTTCCCGCTTCTTCTCTCCCCCCCGAAGAGATGTCGAGGGCTCGTCATTTTTCTAGGACTTGGCGTTCTCCCTATGCCATGAGTCCCTTGCATTGTTGGCCGCCTCTTTCTCTTCGTACTGAATGTACGCTTGGGCCTTCAGTAGGAGGCTGTCGAGCGTGGTCGGAGTCTCGATGCCCACAGCTTTGGCAAAGTCGTTGCGGGGATGGAGCCCGCGCTCGAGGAGATATTTTTTCATGTCGTCGATCGTTGAGACCTGCACAACTTCCTTATTGAAGGGCTCGATGTAAGCCTGAAGAGACTCGTCTCTCCTCTAGATGATTGCTTCTAGTGATGCTTTCGACTTAAGATGTCGGTAGGAGGCAGTGAAATGCCTTAAGAACATCTTTCTCAGCTGCTTCCAGGAGGTAATGGATTCGTCCAGGAGGCTTTTGTACCAAGATATTGCACCTTTCCTTAGGGTAGTCGGGAACAGTCTGCACTTGATGGCGCCTCTCACTCCTTGGTAGTCAAGGAATGCGTCAATATTCTCTATGTGTTCATCAGGATCAGTCGTATTGTCATATGTTTCCAGCGGGGGTGGCTTCTCTAGGCCGACTGGGAGCTGGGTATCTATAATATCTCTTGATAACGGGCCGTGGGGGTCGTCATTATCGATTTCTTCGGGGATGATGGCGGGGAGTGACAGTCTCATCCCCGTCGGGCATCGTTGTTTCTTCGAGGGGAAGGGCTTCTCTGCTGTTGCCTCAAATTAGGCGATAGTGATCGGCCGCAATCTCTCTTTGTCTTCTTGGAAGATGGAGAGCCTTGATCTTTCTTGGGAGGTGTGCGGTTGCATTTCTTGAGGAAAGAAACGTTGTGCTTCTTTTTTCTTAGTGGACAGCCACGCCTTGGCGGCGATATGCTGGGGGAATCGTGTCATCGGTGCCTCCGAGGAGAAGATTTTGACTGTTTCTTCTCCCATGCCTCTATCCTCTTGCTCTGTTGCATGATAAGGGCGTTAGTATGATTAAGGGCAGTGAGCAATGCTACCATGGTCGGGTCGGTATTTTGAGGGATGGGAACTGAATGTAGAACCTTCGACAATTCCTTGGTAGGGTTCTTAGGATGCTGCTCGTCCAAGAACTGATGGTAGTTGCGCTGGGCGTCAATTGAATCTGGAGACGCAGTCCATCCGTCTCTGGCGTCGAAACCGTCCTCGAGGTGAGGATGTTCCTGGCTTCCGTCGGTCTTGTGGATCGGGGAGAGCACAGTCTTTCCAGAGAGGTGATGATCATCTTGGTCGGCCATGATTGAAGGATCTAAAGTATCTTTAGTCTTCAGATTCTGGGGAAATAAAACGGGGAAGATGATTTCCCACAGAAGGCACCACTGATCTTATCGGTGAATCAGAACCTACTAGTGGGTCGACGGATGATATCTGGCTTGCTGGATAGTTAAAGAGAAAAATGGGAGTTGTATCTGCAAGGCACTCCAACGATCAAGTAAGTGTGGGAGCAAAGAGATACAAGCAATATATTAGGGTTTAAGGTTTGAATATTGGATACCTGACCCTCACATGTGTGAGAGTTTATATAATGCCCCTAGCGCTTGGCCATTGATCCCTATTTTTTGGCCTAGATATGCAAGTCCTCAAAAATAGGTAACTGTCAGGACTCGTCAAAACGGACATGTGTGCTCGTTACTATCCGTTGGTTCCGAAGAGGAGGCGGATTACGAACAGACGGTCGTTTTGGACGTTTTCTGGTTGTCTGCTCGACTCGTGTTGGGCTGACAGGGAGATAACTACTGATTGGGTCATGCGTGCGTGTCGGACGTCGTTGATCGCACGTCCAGAGGCGTGGTCGACCAGGATGCCGAACCACTGTTATTGGGTCGTGCCAAGAGTAGAAGCGGATTGCGCCAATCTTAGTCATTGGGCCAGTTCAGAACAAATACCCTAATGAAGATGATGTTGTAAAAGGATTAAACTTTTGATTAAGTTGAAGAAGATGATAAAAACAATTGTTTTTTTTTAAGTTCAAAAACTTATGAAACTATTATTTTTTTTGAATAATCTTTTGGATGTTATGATTTTGTGAGTAATTTATGTAATTTGATATAAATTTGTGAATATTACACTTTATTATGGCGATATAGTATATTTTTATTTTATAATTAAACTAACATTTTAAATTATTAATACATTTACTATATTATATAAGAATATATATGCCACGTATTTAAATTTAATATGAAATAAATTTTATAATTTTACATTTCGATTGTATCTAGACAAAACTAATCAAGATAAAAATTAGATTATGACAATCTTAGATTAAACAAATATGTGTATTATTGTCTTCACTAAATCATGAGACAACAAAACTATTTTATGGGAATGGTTTGATCAAGATCAAACCATCAATATCACTTTGACGACGTGAAAGTATGTGTAAAATGAGGGATTCAAATTCATGAAAATACATGGTTGTATTTGTTTTCAAATGTCAAATTTTGGAAAGCCACGCACTTTTTTGAATTGAAAAATCCATGTTTCTGTTTGGTAGACACTAGAACTGAGCATTTAACTTGAAGTTGCATTTGTACTCTACTCTGTCTTCTTTCCCCATGGTTGATGGGTTTATCATATTTTAACATCGCGAAATCCACAACATTCTGTAGCTACAGCCTCATTCACAAGGCTGCACCATCTTCCACCATTCAACATGCCTCATTATTCAACCAACCTCCTTCCATTTTCTCCTCACTATTACGCGAATTCTCGAATACCCTCATCCATGTCAAATCCATCCACGCACAGATTATTAAGAACTGTATATCCACTCAACACTTTCTGGCCACAAAGCTTGTCAAATCATATTCTCATTTGGGTTTTCTCAATTCTGCATACAAGGTGTTTGATCAATGTCCTCATCCGGAAACCACCCTCTGTAATGCTATGATGGGTGGTTTCCTTAAGAACCGCGAATACGAGGAGGTTTCCAAGTTGTTTAAAATGATGGGGTCTTGTGATATTGAAATAAATAGTTATACATGTGTGTTTGCTCTTAAGGCTTGCACTGTTTTATCGGATAAGGAGATTGGTATGGAGATTGTTAGGATGGCTGTTCGAAAGGAGTTTCATTTGCATCCTCATGTTGGGAGTTCGGTGATTAATTTTTTTGTGAAATCTGGTAATCTTGATGTGGCGCGAGTGGTCTTTGATGGGATGCCTGAAAGGGATGTTGTTTGTTGGAATTCGATTATTGGAGGTTATGTGCAGGAGTGTCTTTTTAAGGAGGCGGTTCAAATGTTTGTTGAGATGATTGGTTGTGGAGTGAGGCCGAGTCCTGTGACTATGGCTAGCTTACTCAAAGCGTGTGGTGAAAGTGGAATGAAGAAACTTGGAATGTGTGTTCATGCTTTTGTACTTGCATTAGGTATGGGTGATGATGTTTTTGTGCTTACTTCATTGGTTGATATGTATTGTAATGCAGGGGACACTGATTGTGCTTTTTTGGTTTTCAATAGCATGCAAAGTAGAAGCTTGATTTCATGGAATACTATGATTTCGGGATGTGTTCAAAATGGTATGGTGCCTGAATCTTTTGCTCTCTTTCATAGACTGGTCGGAAGTGGTGCTGGGTTTGATTCGGGGACTTTGGTTAGCCTTATTCGTGGATGTTCTCAGACATCTGACTTGGAAAATGGAAAAGTCATCCATTCTTGTATCATTAGGAAAGGACTTGAATCAAATATAGTTTTATCCACTGCAGTTGTTGACATGTATTCTAAGTGCGGTGCCATAAAACAGGCAACTAATGTTTTCAGAACAATGGAAAAAAGGAATGTAATTACTTGGACTGCTATGCTTATGGGTTTATCACAAAATGGCTATGCAGAGGATGCCTTGAAGTTATTCTGTCAGATGCAAGATGAAAATGTGGCTGCCAATTCTGTCACTCTTGTTAGTCTTGTGCATTGTTGTGCTCACCTAGGATCTCTCAAGAAAGGAAGAAGTGTGCATGCTCATTTCATCCGCAATGGTTATGCATTCAATGCCGTTAATATCTCAGCCTTGATTGATATGTATGCCAAGTGTGGTAAAATTCATTCTGCTGAGAAGCTATTCTATAAGGGATTCCATTTAAATGATGTTATACTCTGTAACTCTATGATCATGGGTTACGGAATGCACGGTCAAGGACATCAGGCTCTTGGTGTCTATGATAGAATGATAGACGAAAGGCTGAAGCCAAACCAAACTACATTTGTTTCTCTGCTAACAGCATGCAGTCACTCGGGCCTTGTTGAAGAGGGTAGGATTTTGTTCCACTCTATGGAAAGAGATCATAACATTAAGCCTAGTGAGAAACACTATGCTTGTTTTGTCGATCTTCTCAGTCGAGCAGGCTGGCTTGAGGAAGCAGATTCATTGGTGAAACAAATTCCCATTGAACCAAGCACGGATGTACTCGAAGCTTTGCTCAGTGGTTGCAGAATCCATAAAAACATTAACATGGGAATACAGATTGCAGATAGATTAATTTCACTTGATTACTTGAACACGGGAATTTACATAATGCTGTCAAATATATATTCTGAAGCAAGAAGATGGGAATCGGTTAATTACATAAGGGGCCTCATGAGGATAAGGGGCCTGAAGAAAACACCTGCTTTTAGTTTAATTGAAGTAGGGAACCAAGTATACACATTTTTTGCTGGAGATGATTCACATCCTGGTTGGGGAAATATTAAGCAGTTGTTAGAAAATATGAGGCTTGAGGCGGAGGCTTCTGGTTATATTCCTGATACCAGTTGTGTTCTTCGCGATGTGAATGAATCAATGAAGGTTGAGTTGCTATGGGGACATAGTGAGAGATTAGCTATAGCATTTGGTCTTCTAAACACACCATACGGAAGCTTGATTAGAATCACCAAAAATCTTCGTGTTTGTTTTGACTGTCATACTGTCACCAAATACATATCAAAAATAGTTAAGAGGGAAATTATTGTTAGGGATGCTAACCGTTTTCATCACTTTGTTAATGGGGAATGCTCTTGTAATGATTACTGGTAATTGGATTATGAAACTTCGGGCACATTAGTTCAAATAATGTTCCTAGGTGAGCATTATTAGTTCAAATAATTCATGTCCTCTTAAGGTGTAGCTTTCTGATCAATGTGCAACATATCTCTCATCAAATGAAAAGTCTAAACACATTGATATCGATTGGCGGTTCACTAAACAAACGAAAAAGTCCACTTCAAATAACCAAAGAATTAAGTCGGAGAGTCTCATGACTTAGTTACTACATTGAATTTCTTTTTCCTATTTAATGTGGGACTTATTAGATTGTCAATCCTTATAACACTTGACGTGCATGACAATTTTTACTGTGTAGATATTATTTCTCTTTTGCGGGTTCATGGATCAATTAGTATTTGGCGGTGAACCTTAATCTAGTCTTACTAATAACCCTTTTCTACAAGTTCAACTGTCAATAAAAACGTAAATGATTTGAGTTCATGAGGAGAGTTTGAAAAACTAACTTATTAAGTAGGTGGGAGAGCTCAAAGATTAGTTATCACATTGAAATTTCTTTTCTATTCAATGTATGACTCATAACAATATAACTCAAGGGCACTCAAGGGCTTTTCAGCCTCATCTATTTGCCCTCAAGCTCTGCACAACAACTTGCAGACATATTCATTAAAGGGTTTGGATAATGATGTAGGAAGATTGCTTCTTCATATTGGAGAAGAAGCAGTGTGCGTTGAAATGGTTCGACAGGGTTTGCACAAATTTGACGTCTGATGTCAGAATCACTCGTATTATCCCTTTTCAAGAAGGGAATCGACCCACAAGTCCAATCCATTGCTTTGTAGTGACCTATGGGCTTTTTAAGTCATTCGAGTTCGCTTCAGGTCTGGAAACAACATTTTATTATTTTCTACAATTTCAACAATTTCTGTTTTATTTTAATTCTGTTTTGGATTAAAGGCCCATAAGGCACATTAGATTTTCTTTGCTTTCTGTATTTAAAGACCTTTGCCGCGACCATAAGGATTATCTTCATTATAATAAAATTCAAAGTTTTCTTTATTTGGTGGATTTTAGAGCTTATCTGACAGATTTTGCGCTTGCAATCTTGTGATTTCATTTCAAGTTTAGCGCTTACTATTCCTTAGGGTTTTCGATTGTGTCAGTTGGCATCGTAGCATGGTTTCTCCCGTTGTTTTCGTAGTTTGACAATCATGGTGAATCAATTGACAACCATAACAGATCTTGAGGGAGTTACCGCGACTTTTACCGCGACTCTAATTACTTTGACTGAACAGATGGAGAATTTAGCAAATCAGGTAAACAACGCCAACAAAAACGAGAATCAGCGAAGAGACATGAGAGGAGAACATGTTAGGGGTGGAAAACTTTAGGATAACCCAATTTCTGTTTTACGTCCACCATCTAGAATGGATTAAACAATGCATCAAGCAGGGACTATAAAATGACCAGGTCTATGGAAGTCATCTCCTTTCATTGATTTCTTTTCTCAGGTAAAAGCTTCCAGTTTGCACAACTTAAAAAAAACTATATACCTTGCAAACATGAGAGTAGCATTCCTAAACTAAAGAAGCTGGAGACAATTTTTGTTAAAAAGGCAAGGTCTAAAATTGTTAAAGGGGCGACAAAGAATACTGAAGTAAATTATGGTGATGATGAACCTGGTATATATGAAGGAGATGCATAGGGGAGTTTATGAAATGAGAGTCTCACAATCAATTGCGAAAATCAGCTCGACGATAATGATATTTTTGCTCAATTTGATTCTTGTACTTAAGTGAGTGAATATCCTTTTACAATTGCAGTTGCTCTAAAATCTGAGGAGCAATGTCTTTTAAGGAGAAATGTCTATAAGCAAAGGTGGAAATCACGACATGAGTGAAAAGGTGAAACGTTTACAAATCAATGATGTAAAAGATGGAAATCTTGATATGAATGTTTGTCATATTTTACTTGGTAGATCTTGATAGTTTGATAATGATATCATTTATCGAGGACGGGATAAGATGATGATGTTTATATTAGGGCTCACATAAAATTGATATGACTCTTGTATTGCATTTTGATAAGAATCCAAGAGGAAAGAAGTCTAATTTCTTATTGATGACACTGAGTGAAAAGGAGCTTGATGAGGATGTTAAGGAAACTAGTTTTTTATGTCCAGTACTGATTAAAAGAGTGATGAGTATTTTAAAGGAGAAAACAAAAATTTCAGAAGAAGTGTTAGGGGTCCTAAAAGATTTCAAGGAGTTGACCGCAGATGAGCTACCAAACGATTTGCCTCCTATGCGAGATAAACGCGTGGAAATTAAAGTTTTCAATGTGGGAGAAGATGTGATTGTGTTTCTGCGTAAGGAGAAGTTTGTAATTGGTAATGTTAAGTATGTGGTTTTATGATTTTGTTTACCCTGATTTTTGGTAAACAAGCTCTAGTCTTCCAAAAGACAATGAAAAGTTCTTGGTTACTCACAAGATCAACTAGATTGATCCTAGGACATGTGTTTCTATTTAAACTTTGTTCTTTGAAATGAAGAACACTTTGACATTATTCCTAATCTTTAGATAATGTTTGTTTTTATCTAAATGAGTCTCTAAAGTAATCTTACGAAACTTGTAAAGAAAGTGCAATAAAGACGATTGAAAGTAAATTGCTAGAAGTAAATTCTGGAATGATAAATCGTAAACTAAATACAAGATGGTGTTTGCACATACATTTCTCAGAGGACTCTTTTCTCAACACGCAAATACTTTGAGTTTATGTGAGATTTTATACAAATGAATGAACACCCAAATCCTAACACTAAGACTCCTATATATACTAACTCGAAACAACTGTTTTCAACGACTTTTCGCTCAGAACATGACACATTTCTCCCAACTTGTCTTCCTTTCACTCCGAAGCTCCACGCGTCTTCTGTTGAAACTGGATAAGGACATAAATCAATTATTCAATTTCAAAACCCCTCTCGAATTCCATATCTTTATTCGTCGAACATATATAAAAACTTAGAAAATATTTCTAAATTCTATCCAACGTTTCCCTCTTGCAAAGAAATGACTTTGACCGGTCTTTAGCAAAATATGCTTTCTCGTCGAAAGCCCTAAATATCTCCAAAGATATTTTCCTCCTCTTTTTAAGATAACATGGCGTCAAAAAATTCAGCTAACAAATTGCCCCCTAAAAATATCCTTTTCGACGTACTGAAGAAAGGGGCATTTTTTTAACGTTCATTATGACGCTAAACTTTTTAGTTCTGATGAGGTCATAGTCATTATGACACTTCTGCAAAACGTCTTTTCAGGATTTACGTGTGAATCTTATTCAATCATGACACTCCTAGTTTCTAGGAGATCGCGGGTAGTTATAACTGCTACCACTTTCCAATAAGCTCTCCGATCAACACACGCCTCACTCACAAAATCCATCTTCAATGCATTCCACAAAACCGTTTCAATCTTCAGCCTATAAATAGCTTTTTTTTATCTCAAACACTTTTCTCTCTTCAGATTTTCTGCAAAACCTTTATTCTTTGTTCTTCATCTTCGTCAACGCTCCAAGTTTCTTTTCAAACAAACTTTCTCCATAACAATGTCGTCCTCCACCATTGCTAACAAGGATATAAAGAAGAAACAAGACAAAAAATATTTTGGTCTTCCTCTTGTCAACAAACTTTTGGGACCTCAAGCCGTTGTTAATCAACAATACGTTCCTGAGCTGTTAACTGAAGAACATAAGAGAATCTATCAGTCTCAGGTATTACTCCCTGTTTCTATTTCCGCTGAAAACTATGCCATGCTAGAAGACATAGCAGAACCAATGGCTGATCCCGAGAAACTCAAACAATTTTTTCCAACTTATGATATATATAAACCCATATCAAATGTTAGAAAACCTAAGGCTAAAGATGAAGCTCATACTGAGGAGAAACCTCATCCTGATCAGCAAGGCAATCCTTTGACAGATGAACCTATCAATTTAGGTTATATGAATAATGGGTTTAGGGTTTTCCGATCTTCTCCTTTGTTTAGGGATTCTAAAGATTACTTATCTTGGTTATCAAATATAGAAAAGAAAAAAAATCCCAAGTCTGGAAAGACATGGGTATTTTCGATTTAATCTAATTATTGAAAATATGACCTGCTTATTGCTCAAGCATGTTAGTTGCTTCCTTATATTTTTGGGACAGTACACATCATACCTTTCATTTCCCATGCGAAATGATGACACCAACCCTTTTCGACAAAGCCTCCATTGTAGGGCTTAAACCTATTGGCGAGACTTTCAACCTACAGTACCTAGCTGAAGACATGATTGATTCCGACATCTCTAGGGCAGCGTACAACACTCACATCAAACACTAACATGACAAACAATCTGACAAAGTGTCTGATCAAGAGGATATTGAATTTCTTGCTTTATGGCTAACTCATTATGTCTTCTGCTCAAGATCTATCCAAGTGGCGAGGAAATTCATCATCATAGCAAACCAACTCCATGTTGGACACAATCTTTGCTTGAGCGAAATGATCTTGGCTCATCTTTATGAGTCTTTGGGCGAAGGGGTGACTGACATCAAGAGTCCTAAGGAGAAAGGAAGCCTATTATTTTCTGGTCCTTTCTAGTTGCTTCAACTATGGTTGAATGCCTCTTTCGAAGCTTCTCTTCCGTACCTCAACCCCGTTGATGCAAATTCTGACAAAATCAAAATTAGGATGGTCGAAGGTGAAGGTTAGAGAAAAACACAAGTAAGGGGGGTTGAATTGGGTTTTCTCTAATTTCTTAAAAAAATATTTGTTTTATCACTAATACACAATGATAAGTAGTTATTGTAAAAGAAAACCAAATAAAAATAACACAGTTATTTTTATACAAGTTCACCTTAAAACTAAGGCTACCTCTTGTCCACCCGCCAAGGTGATTTCGCCTTCAACAAGGACTTAATTCACTAATATCAAAAGATTACACAATAACCTGTAAGAGTCTTGAAATACCTCTTAGCCCCCTCAAGTATACA